GTGCCTGTGGGGCTGAGGGCGGGCAGATTGAAGGTGGGAGAGCTGGCCGCCGGGGTCCGGCCACCTCGGCCCTCCCCAAACCAGGAAAGCGGCTTCTCTGCGAAGGAACTCCGGAGCCACGGAGCCTTCTGCCTCGGTCAGTGTGCAGCTGGCAGGGAGAGCGGCTGTCGCCTAGGAAACCAAGCAGAGCTGGCTCGGGCCTGCCAGCCTGTTGGGGCTCCATGCCTGGGTGGGGGTGTGCGCCCCCCAAAACTGGCATGAGTCAAGGGAGATGGGGTGGGGAAGGACCTGTGTGCATTTTTACAGGGAGAGAAGCCAGCTTCTGCGAGTGTCTGTTAGGTGTCGGGTGGGAGGCGGGCAAGTTCTGTGAATAGGACAGGAGAGAGGGAAGCAGGGGTGTGGGGGTGCGGTGGGTGCTGAAGAGGGAGTGGAGGAAACCCTGGGCCTTTCCAGGAATCTTGCTTGTGGGTCAATGGGCTTTTGTGGAGGCTCGGGGGGAGGGGCGGCCAGGGCTGTGGGTGCCCCTGGTAAGAGGAAGTGAGCACGTGGGAACCGTGTGGCCCTGGACCAGGGAAGACGCCGATAGCTGGCCCTGCGGTGGTGCCCCGCAGCCTCAGTTGCTGTGTAATTACGAATGGGGAGGAGTTTGAGACTCTAAAACCACAAACGAGATCCTGGGTGACTGGGTGTTGGGATGACCCCACAGACAGTGTGTGTGTGTGTGTGTGTGTGTGTGTGTGTGTGTGTGTGGCGGGGGCAGGGTCTAACCAGCAGGCTGGCTGAGCGGCCTCAGCTGCTGCTGCGGGAAGGGAGGGGGGTTGTGCCAACTCAGAGGCCGGGTTGGGAGGGAACGAGGGAGAGCAGGAGGTTCAGGCTGGAGGTCTGTTGGCGAGTTCCTCCCTTGAACACCTGGAGAGGGCGCCGGGGTGCGGGTGCTTTGCCCTCATTCACCTGCAGGTTCTCCTTGCTCTCCGGTGGCGGGTGGCAGTTTCCAGCCAAGTCCGTTTGGATCTTTCTTCTCCCCTGGGAACCTGGTGGGTCCTCTCACTGAGGAGCCTCCGGCAGTGAGGGGACCAGCGGGATCCTGAGCCCAGCAGATCCCCCACCCCTGCCTGGGGTTACCTGGTCAGCCCTGAGCTCAGAGCTAGAACCATGCCGTAACCACCCCCCCCCCCAACGGGTGAAGGGGGTTGGGTGGCAGGAAGCAGAGGGTCCATCCGATGAAGCTCAGTCTCATTCCGCCGAATCCCCCTGCCCACGGCCTCTGCTGAGGGGGCTCCACTGGGTGCACTGACTTGGACTCAGTTGGGGTTTCTGCTTTTGCTGCTGTGGACTCTGGCGTGGGGCTGAGTTCCGGCTCCCCACCCGTGACGTGGGAGGGATAGCAAGTCCCTGACGAGCGGCTGTGGGAACGGAAACAGGTAATGGGTTTAAGAGTTTGGTCATTGGGGGCTCCAGGACGAGGCTTTTGAAAGCTTGTGTTTGTCCCTTCTGACCTGTAGTCTTTGTTTCTTGCTTAATATACAGGTGAAGTCTTGAAGGCCTGTATGGTCTTGTTTCTGGAACCAAACTATTGTATTGCCCATGGGAAAAACATCTCCGGCCTGGGGGCCACAGCCAGGAAGTGAGGGGGTGTCTGCAGGCCCTCCAGGCAGTTCCTCCTGTGCGGCTCCGCACCTGCTGGCTCCGGAGAGCACCTTAAAGCGGAGGCGCCTCCTCCTGCCCGAGGAGCTCGCAGTCTGGAGGGATGGGTGCGCTTGTGTCGTAAGGAAGTTCTGAGGCTTTGGGGGCTGAGTAACTGAATTGGTCCATTTTGGTTCATTCGATTCCAACGGCCAGCCCAGTCCTTATAACAGTTTACAGCTGTGTTCAGATGACAGCCGCCAAACCACCACCTGTGTTCAGAGGGAGCGATGGCTCAGACCCCGTGGAAGAGACGGTTCTGCCTGCATTTCTCTAGGGCAGTGGTTCTCAACCTTCCTAATGCCGCGACCCTTTAATACAGCTCCTCATGTTGTGGTGATCCCCAATTTCATTGTTACAAATTGAACATAATTAAAGCATAGTGATTCATCACAAAAACAGTATGTAATTATAGATGTGTTTTCCGATGGTCTTAGGCGACCCCTGTGAAAGGGTCGTTCGACCCCCAAAGGGGTCGCGACCCACAGGTTGAGAACCGCTGCTCTAGGGTGTCCATGGATTTCTCTGCCTCCTGGGCCTTGCACCTGGGCCTTGCACACTTGAGCGTGACAAAGTGGGAGTGGTCATGGCTGAGGTCTAACTTGGGTACCACTTGCAGAGCGTTGATGGGATGGGACACAGAGTGGAGGACGGGTGGGCAGGTGAGCAGGTCTGGAGGAGTCTGCGCCACCGGGGCTTGAATCCCACCCCAGCCCCAGATGCTCCCAGCAGGCTGCACTTGACGCTTTATCCATTCTGAGATGACACAGAGGCAGGAGGCTGCCCTGGGCAAGAATTGGACCAGGGATTTGTGTGTCATGTTTTGTGGGTGCTGACCCACATACTCTACACGTATTTGCATACACCAGACACCTGGAATCAGAGTGGGGGGGCAGTTTGAGCAAGATTCAGGGTTCCAGGACTCCCCTCCTTGCTGTTCATCACAGTCCAGGGAGCTTTATCTGGGAGAAGGCTCAGGGCCAAGTTCAGATCCAGGGACTACTGAACCCTTAGAACTAAGTCATTCATTCTGATTTTTCTCTCTGTGATGCCTGTCCCTTGCTAAAAAAGAGTTTGTTTTCTGGGGCTGTCACTCAAAATATCGTTTTGCACCATACCATTAAACTTGTCAGTGTTTGCTGATTTGTGTTTATTGAAACTAAATCCATTAGGGTGATGTGAAAATAGCGCTCCACTGTTTACCAAACCCGATTCTTGTTTTTGATATTTTAGTGCATCATCTGTTCTCACTTGAATGTTGTGGAATTTGTTGGTAAAGTGTTATGCAGATGAAAATCCATATTTCATTGAAGTTTTTTTTTATTCAAATGAGTGTAAAGAATATGATAGTCTTGGTGCCTGACTTGCCATCTGAAGCAGAACCTGTATGAATGGCATTGGAGCCAGGCTCCATCTTTGAGAGACTTTGGATGGGCCGGGACCTTGACCCAGATCCGGGTGCTGAGTCAGCTGCCCGGAAACCCCCCCCTCTCCCAACACTGCCCCTCACCAGCTGGGTGGCCCCTGGCAAGTCCCCCAGCCCCGGGCTGCAGTTCCCTATCTATGACATGGCGACTTCTGTTGCTGTTGAAAACTTCAACAAAAGCACCATTATTTCACTGGTTTTCATCATTCTAACATCTCTGGGATTGAGTTGTGTCATAAACTTGGTAGCATGCCATCTGACAGTGTTTGTTTTTCTTTGTCTCTCAGTGGCTTGTACAGTAATTCTGGGCCCGGGCTTTCACGGTATCTTAGGCTTGATGGACATGGAAGCGTTTTTTTGCAAACTTGAAAGTTTTCGAGTTGGATGTTCCCCAGGACAAGGACAGTTGCTCAGCTTTCTAGGTTGACCAGGGAAAGTCCGGTGGTGACCACACCTCCACTTCGGTGCCACGGCTGTGAGGCAGCGAGAGTTTAATCCATGTGTTTCTAGTTGTTGGCATCGGAGTTCAGGTTTGGTTCAGTGGTCAGATGACCTTGGATTCTTAGGTTCAAGAGAGACCCGGGCGCCTCTACTGCTTCCAAACAAAATGAGCTGCTGGGGTCGCTTCAGGCGGAGAAGTGTGACTTTATGGGACAACAGCATTTAACGCCGGCCCGGAAGTCGCGTGGTATTCAGCGGAGGATGTGCCGTGCGCCTGGGCTCATCTGTTTGCTCTTCCGGGAGCTGTGGTGGCCAGAAGGCTCCACTGCCCTGAAGATGCTTGGAGAGGGAGGCTCGGGAACAGGCCGGTGCAGATGCGACTGCCCGGGTTTTGTTCCCACAGTGACCCTTCCCCGTGCAGGGACCTCCCGTGCTCTCAGCCTGCATTCACGCAAACCTGACCCAGGCCCGGGCCACCTCGAGCTCCCAGATCTGTTCACGGAAAGAGTGAGCCCACCTTGGGTGTCAGTGGCGCTTTAGCTCGTGGTGGGGAAGTGACACCTGCCCGGCGGGTGTTTCTCTGGTCCTTGTTCCAGAGACGGGGTTCTGGATTGACCTGCGCAGAAGGTTCCCCTAATGGGCGTGATTCTACAGTGAGCACACACCCAGCCCCAGATTCTGACACCCAACGCTGTTCTCTGTCCATCTCTGTGTCCATCAGTCTGTCTCCTTGGCAACGGTTCTCTGCTGCATTGTAGGCCTCCCTCTGCTCCACTCCATCCCTTCAGCAAGTATCTCATTACCCGAAGGTGACTTGTCTGTGGTTCGTTCCTTTTGTTTTTGGTCGAGGGTTCGGGGCAGGTATCCCAGAGGTGGGGGTGGGAACATGAGGTAAAATAAATGCGTAGATCCTGAGCATACTGATCGACTTGTGTACCCCAATTCCCTATCAAGACATCGAACAGCCCTGGCCCGAGTGGGGTGATTGGGTGTCATCTGGGCACCGAAAAGGTCACCAGCTGGATTCCCGGTCAGGGCACAGGCCCAGGTTCCAGGCCCCATCCCAGTAGGAGGCGTGCCAGGCAGCCGGTCGATGGTCTGCCCTCACATCGAGGTTTCTCTCTCTGCCTTCCTCTCTCTAACATCAATTACAATATTTTTTAAAAATTATTTTTAAAAGATTTGGAACATACTCCCACTCCAGAAAGTCCCCTCATGGACCCTTTCCAGGCAGCACCCACTCCTACCACATGATCACTTTAGACAACCACGTTTTTACCCTAGCACGATGACTTGTGCCTGTTTCAGAATGTAGTATATAAAGTACATACATGCACACATACGCTACACATACAGACTTACGTGTATGTGCAATATTACATAGATATATATCACACCACCCATACCTTTCTGCAGAAGCTTTTTGTTTTTTATTAAATTCAACGTGCTTTTGTGGGTTTGAATGTTGTAGCCAGGACCAGTTGCCTGTTCTTCCTTTTCACTCGATGCGTCGTATTCCACGGGGAACCTGGTTACCCCAGTGGTTCCTCACCTGTGGACGGACACGGGCTGTGTCTAGCCCCTGGCTTTTCTGAATAAAGCTACTGTGGCCCATTCTTGTACATGTCTTTTTATGGACATGTGTTTCCAGTTCTCTTGGTTAAATTCCTAGACGTGGAATTGCTGAGTTGTAGAATTAGGTGTATGTTTAGTTTTATAAAGCAGCTATAAAATGTTACACCACTGCCCATCGTGAAAACTGAGCTGTTCTTTAAACCATTCAGCAGAAGGTTGGCTTTCTGCTTGAGAGGCGGAGGGCGGGTGAGCGGTTCCTGCGCCCACAGGGAGATGCTTGGGGGAGTGTGCCCCGTTTGCCCTGCTGGGGGCGGCACTGCTCTGGAGAAAGCAGCCGTGGCCTCCGATGTAGACGGGCCTGCTTCTCCGCCTTCCTGGACATCCAGCGGGAGGACTGGTTTTTCCTGGCCGTGCCTCGCCCTCTCCCTCCCCCACTGCCTCTCCCCAATGGCGGGAGGATCGCAGTCTTTGCCTCCTGGTTCTTTTCCCATCTGTGCCCGCCTTTCTGTGTTCATGGCGAACAGAAGGTGGGTTTGGACTCACCTGATCACCATGGAGTAGTCACACGTGCATTTCTAGTTTGTTTCAGTGCGAGGGTGCCGGCTCAGCATGTGTTGTAGGTGGCTGGCTTCCTGCAAGTCAGCCGCCCAGTGGGCTGGGCAGCCGGGATACGCTGGCCTCGCCGCTCCTCCGAGTCCCGTAGGCCAGTGCTTGGGGGGTGTGGTTAATAGGGCTACTAATGTGGATTCTATTTTATCCCACCTCTTTCGGGAAAGTCATCTGAGGACTCAACACAGTAGGGCTCTGTAAGGGGCGAGATTGGGGAAGGGCTAGAGGTGATCAAGAATGCAAGTACAGCAGCTGCAAACATCAGGCGAGTTGGCTGTGAACAGAGACGCTCTAAATGGAACAGCTCTCTGAGCTGCAGAGACAGTGTGTCCTGAGTTGCTCACCAAGAGGAGTGATTCACTGGGAAGCTGTGTCCTGGGATAGAGAGGTCTCCGGCCATTGAGGGCTGGTGACAAATGTCAGGCTGGGTTCCTGCAGCTGCTGCTGTGCCCCGTCCCCCAGGAAAAGCCAGGACAGACCCTGCGAGGTCGCTGCCTTCTTCTGTCGGCGCTGCTGTTTCCCAGGTGATGTGGGTGTCCGGCCCAGGGCTCAGCGGTCAGGGGCGTTTGCAGCCCCCGTGGGCACTTGGTGTGTGCGTGCTTGCTACCCACGCCGAACGGACCTGCAGCCATTGGGGCTGGTTTTTGGTGGAGCACTTGCTGTTGCCTGGGGCTGGGGAGCAGGAGTAATGTTCCAGTGGGGATGCTGCTCATGTTTGCTTTTTACAAAAATGATGCTCGTATCCAGTTACTAAAATCATGGAGACATGGAGCATACTGTTCTCCGGGGTTTCCTAAGCCGTTGGTGTTGACAAGGCTGCATTCCTCATGTTGAAAGGAAGAGGAAGACCGGAATATAAGGCTTATCTGTATTTAAGTGTTTCAGAAGGAAGATGGATCTGCTCTGTGTTTAAATATAGCACGTGTTTGCTACCGAGTTGTTGGAGAATAAGCAATCGAGTATGTAGGTCATCGACTTGGGAGAATGAGTTCTGAGTCCTTTTTGCATCTGAATAACACAGTCTCACAGTTGGGCCGCGATGCTACGCAGAATTGGGTTACACAGAGTTCAGCAGGATGTCTGGGAGGCGAACAGGGAGTCACAGGGGATACCTTTGCCCCTTAAGGCATTAGGGGTGTGACTTGGTGCGGGGCCCTGCTGGTCGCAGCCAGCCCGCCGCAGTGGCACTCACCAGTCTCGGGTGTGTGGAGAGAGGGGCTGGGTGCCGCGCCCCCACGCAGATCCGCTGGAGAAGGGGCGAGGGCTGTACTCAATCAGGATAAATGCCAGCGGCGTATTTTAATGCGCTGGATGCAGACGCACTGTGCGGAGTTGCGTGTTTAAAGGGAACTGCCACCCCCTTTGAAGGTATGTGACATTTACGAGATCTGCAGCAGGAGATAGCTTGACAGCTTCGAATTATGTTTGAAAGAGTTTTTCTTTTAAGAAAGAAAATGATTACTTCTACTTTAAATGTCATTGCAGAGACATAAACATGTTTAATCAAGTTAGATATTTAATTCATGTAGAATGTAATTTTCATTCCCAGGGGAGAGCCCTGGTTATTTCTTTGGCAGCCTGGAAGCTGGGCAGTGTTGGTGATTTGGAAAGCGGTTCGGCTTTCTGAGGAAGCGGCTACTTACGGGTTTAGAGAATCTGGGGGGAGAGCATTATGATTGAAATGTGTTGTCGCTTGGACACGTACTTAATGGCACATTTTGGGAGGGGGAGGCCCATCGTGATTGTCACTGGAGACATCAGGATAAGCTCCTGTCGAGTGAATTGAGGAGTGTGACCCTGAGGACAATAAAGGCAGAAACGGCACAGATGCTTCTGCAATTTCCTTCTTTTGGCTTCTTTGACTCAGCGGGGAGTTATGGAGAGGGCTGGGGTGACGTGGGAGGCCGCAGGGGCTCTGGGAGGACAGACGCAGAGCCAGGACAGAGCTTTGGGTGGATACAGTGTGACTGTTGATACAAATGCTGATGTGGGGTTCGAGGGCACCGGCAAGGTCCCCAGGCAGCTGGACAGGCAGCACTGTCACTGTGGGTCGCCTGACTCTGGTGGTCTGCCAAGACACTCCAGAATCTTCTCTGAGGGAGCTGGGTGTTGGAAGGTGGCCAGCCCAGCGGAGAGCCGTGTGCGTCAGCCCGGGCCGGTCTTGGCCTGCTCAGCCTGCTGCCTGTGGTTTCGATTTAGCCAGGCTGGGTCAGGGAGCCCTGGAGTTCGCTGCCAGGGTGCCCACTTGCCCAGCGAGGGCCAGCCCCGGGCCTGGTGTTCTGTGCCCCAGGGTTGCTGGGAGGGAAGGCGCCCTATCTGGGATGTGACCCTGGGAGCTTCGGGCCTGGCAGCTGGGAGGAGAAACCAGTCAGTTGTGCCCGTTCCCAGGAAAGAACTTACGTAGCCAGCGTCTTTGCCAAGTGCGGCGAAGGTCAGGGTTCAGGAGCTGGGAACTCTGCCTGCCTGTGGCCGGGAGGGATGGGCTCCAGGCCGCTCTGAGTCAGCAGGGCCCTAAGCGCTAGTCCACGAAGAAGGAATCGTCCTGTTTATGGGTCAGCACTAGCCAAACAAACCAACCCCCAAAGGGTCGAGCCTACCTGTTACTTTGTAGCTAAATTTGTTACTTTGAAGCAATTGAAGAACCTGTGGTTGTAAGGGAAGTGATACCCTTTACCTGGTCTCCCCAGGGTAACAATTTGCAAAATGATAGCAATATGACCAAGAAATGGACTGATTCAATCCACACATACTCGGATTCCAGTGTTACATGTATTCACTCGGTATTTACTTCTGTGCAATTGTATCGTGGGGGGAGCAGGGGGCTCCCTAAGCACCCCTGTGGTCAAGAAGCACAGGAGTCCCGGCACCAGGGGCCCCTGTTGTCTGTTTGCGGCCACACCCACGTCAGGTGGCCGGAACACATGGTTGTTTACAGAGCTGGCCTCCTTCCAAGACCCAGCTTGTTCAGAGAAAGTTCCAGAGTTGGCGTCCCAGTCCCTAACCCTGACAACCACTAATCTGTTTCCCGTCTTTGTTAAGACTGTTACATAAATGGAATGAGGTGGTGTGTAGCCTGTCGGGAGGGCATTTTTTCACTCAGGACAAGTCCCTGTGAGATGCACTCCAGTTGCTGCCAGTGTCACTACTTGGTTCCTTCTTACTGATGAAGAGGAAGTTCATCCTTAGTTTTGGACTCAATTTTAGACCAGAATCCGGCAATGAGAAAGCCCACTCTGGAGGCGAGAGTTGCAAAACAGCCCTTCCTTGCTGATGTCAGGGGTTGGGCATCTCTGGCCTCCACTCAGCGTGGCCCATGGCTCCGCAAGCGTCCGTGGGGTGGTTTCGAAGGAGTCGCGGTGCCGTGTTGGCTCAGCTGGTTAGGAAACCGGCCGAGAGCCTCCTTCACTCCTGAGCTGTGTTGGTCTGGGTTGTGTGGTGCCCATGGACTGAAATATGTGGAGAAGCAGAACTTGGGAGGAAGGGTTCCTCAGTGTCCCCGCTTTATTAGCAGGAGAGAGAGTTATTCAACCGTTTTCTTTTTATTTGGCTTCTTAGATGTTTCTTCTTTTATGTAAATACTAGTGGCCCAGTGCACGAAATTTGTGCACATTAAAAGAGGATTAATTAGAGGAAATACTTTAATATTGCTATTTGCCCTTTCTTTATAATAGAAGTGTCAGAGATGAAAGAATTAGTAAAATGTATATGGGAATCTTCCTCCTGTCAGAGTCGGGCACGCTGCGGGACCCAGAGTCAAGTCCCTGCCCACCCACGTGCACCACGAAATCACACGAGACCCAGACCCAGCCGGCCCCACCACCATCAAGCCCCGCCAGGCTGGGGGCACAGCCTCAGGTCCCCCACTCTGGCCCAGCACCATGCAGCCTCAAGTCCCTACTGATCGCTTGTTACGGGAACCCCGCCTCCGCTGTGGGCGCAGCCATCTTGTGACGGTGTGATGGAGTGAGGGTCAATTTGCATATTTCCTCTTTATTATAGGATTGACCACACCTCTCATTTCTCCCTAGGGGTAGGGTGGGGTCAGGGACAGAATCTGCTCTGTCATCAGTGGGGTTTGTGTTACCGATATTGGCAGCACATAGGTTTTGTGTCACTGCTGAGCTAACCCTGTGCCCCTGATCAAATGGGGTGTCGATGGGGTGCCTGGCAGAATGGCACTTAGAGAACACCTCTGCCTCCTCCATGCCCTTGTCTCCAGCAGGGAGCGCACCTGGGCAGGGCACTCTTCCCAGACACCCTGTTGGTTGATGGGGCTGTGTTCTCAGCATCCTCCTCTCCTTCCACCCCTTCTGGAAGGTTCTGGACCATTTCACAGAGGCGTGCATGCCTCGCTGGTGGTTTTCTTGTTTAACTACTATTTGGAACCCGGAAAGGCCTTTGCTGAGACACCGACAGTGTCTGGCTTGTGATGGGAGTTGACACCTATCCATTGTGGGGCCTGCATGTGCGCGGGGCCCAGCAGTCAGGCTGTCCTTCGAGCCGGACTGATGTTAAGGGGGCCCTGGTCCCCTGGCGAGGACTCTTCTCACTCCTCTGATCTCTTCAGAGTTAACAAGGCGGCGTCATGGCTCGGCTGACTTTCCTGCGGACACGTGGGGACACAGCCAGGCTTCTGGGAGCTGAGGGTCGGACTGCTCAGACCAGCTGCCCTCGCGCCACAGCCAGCTGGGCAGCCGGGGTGTGGGAACACAGCTTGAGTTCACAGAATGACGTTGTTGTGTGGGGGCTGCTGCTCATGGAGCCTCTATTCTTCTTTCTGTCAAAACTTGGCGTGTGTTGGCCTGATCGGCGGCACCCATTTACCGATTCCCTTCTGTGTTTGCTTTTCCAGTCGTTTCCAAGGCTCCCTCCCCCCAACCTGGCATCCTCGTGTCTTGTTTATTTCTCCAGCAGCCTGCAGCCCGTGGATGGCACCCAGCTCGGCCGCCCCTGCTCACCTCGGCCGTCCCAGCCCACTGGCTGTGCAGGGCACAGAGGTGGAAGGGCGGAGCCAGGGAACGCAGATGGATGGACTGCATCTGGGACAGCACAGAAAATAGTCTGTTTTGTTTTTTAAAAAGTGGCTGAGTGCCAAGACTTCCCTTAAAGTTTTCCACGCGCTGTCCTTATATTTTAAGACTAGAGTTCTAAAATCTTGGCTGTTGGGTCTTTTCGCATTTTTAAAACATAAAACCAGCTGAACGTAATTAATATTACAGAATTTCCATAAACATTCTCTTTACAAAGACCGAGTATGCGCAGTTTCTTCCTGGAGGGCACTTTTCTTACTGAAGTTGAAACGGGGGGAGGTAGGACGGGGGGGATAGTGACGTGTGGATTTGACCCTCAGCTCTCAGTGCCAGGTGGGCTGTGTTGGGCCGTGGGAAGAATTAGCTTTCAGCGTGGCTGTTTTTCCCCCTGAATGAAGGGGGATTGTTTCAAAGCTCATGGCTATGGTTTGGTTTTTGTTGGGCTGTAGTAAGTGGAGGGGAGTCCCGGGAGGGATAGCGTGGCTCCAGTCAGCGTAAATACCTCGTCTCACCTGTCAGTCCTGTCACTGCGCAGGGATGGCTCACTCCTCAGACACTGATCCTCGGTTTTGTCACATGACATCCAAACCAGGTGTCCCCGTGCTTCGTGCCCGGGGGCGAGGCCTTGCCGGGAGTGAGTTCATAGTCACAGGCTGGGCGGGTGCATAAATTCTGTGGAGCGAGTGGAGGCACCATCCCTGGCGACTTGGGCTTGTGCTGTCACAGCGTCAACCCAGGCCCTGGCTGAGGAATGTGCCGATCGAGTCAGCTGAGTCCTCTCTGTGTCTTGGGCACCCCTGGGAGTCCTCAGAGATCCTGCCGAGAAAATCTCCCCCGGGAACCCACGAGGACCACTCCACTCTGCACTGTCATCAGGCATCTGCAAACTTCCTACCTTTCCCTACCTCCTGTCTTTTTAAGGACTTCTTTCGACCTTCAGGTAGCAGTGGGCACCCCTTTAACTAGTCTGATCATCTCCCAAGCCCTTTAATGCTCCCCACCCCTCAGTCAGCTGTCTGCGCTTCAGCGGTCTGTCTGCAGCCTCTCGGATTTCTGTCTTGAAATTCCATTGAAGCCCTCTACACAGGCAGAGTTACCTGTTCTGGGTTAATTTTACTGGGAAGCCTCTCAGAGCAAGACTGTTCCCACCCCTAAGATCAGGTGGATGAGAACATGTTCATTTGTCTTCAGACCTTTGTCTAAAAATAAAAAGTAATGTTACAGACACTACTAAGTTTTACTTCATATATGTATGAAGTAATATTCCAAGTATATCAGGAAATACATATGTTTATATAATACCCTTACATATTTGAAAATTCACTGATTACTTAACTTATGTATCCATGAACATTTTCATGTCTACTGTGGAAAGCATCCAAAATAGAAGGGAAAGGAAGCCTATGGCACACTAGGACAAGCCATACCAGTCAGGGACTATAAATCCCATTATGCAGTTAGTTAAATATTTGGTTTCCTACTATGTTCCATATACGAAGAATAAAATGGGATCAGGGCATTTATTTAGCCGGTAGAGACTTAGAGATAGGCAGGGTAGACAGCAGCCTGGCATTCAACAAGGAAGGTATTACAGAAGATACAAGATGGGTTTTGAAGAGTGCATAGGAGTTTTCTGGGCAAGCTCTCACCACCTCAAAAATGTGGTTCCTTGGCCATAGTAGATGCTTATTTAACATAAAACTGTTATGTCAGAGGCTTGGGACTACTGAGAGCCTATACTAGTCCCTCCCTCCCTGGCACTAAGAGGCTGTCTCTGCCCCCCTTTCCTTGACTTAGAAAATTGGATGTTTAAGGTGTTGTCGGGGGGCGGGGGGAGGCGCAAATTCCTTCTTGAACTTGAGCAGGTCTTCAGAACCGCTCCTGCCACCGCTCTCCTGTCCTCATGAAGGAGGACCTGGCTGCGTCCGCCCGGGGTGTCTGCCTCCTTGTTAACAGGACACAGGACTCTGGTTTTCGTAAATGGGGAGTCGGGGCCTGGGAAATCCAGGCGTTCCTCTCTGATTTGCTACATGATCCGGCAGGATACGTCACAGGATGGATCCCAAGGCTGTTTAAAAGAGGAGAAACTATAATAAGAAACTCTAGTTTCCTGAGATTTGAATGGTTTGAAAGGTAGAGTGTGGCTGAGAAGTTGGTTACAGTAATGTCATACATTTTAAAAATATTAGTCATAGGGATCCTGATCGATAATAAGGTAGGGTTGGCAATAGCCAGCATTGGCCACAGCCATTCCTTCCCACCAACCACACCAGCCCTCTCTCACAACACAGACACTCCAGTTGTGTGGCAACTCAAATGTTGAAAGTCAGTGTTCTATGGAAAAGCCACAGCAAAGATACCTGGCGCGCCTGCTGCCCGGTGTTTGCCCTTTCTGTGTGCCTTTCCCGCCTGCCGCAGGATGAGTCCCTTCCGCTCTGGCCCTTGCCGCTCTGTGTGGACAGGAAGTGGTTCAGATGATGCGAAAGGGCCCATGTAGTTGCTCTTCATTCCATGTATCGGAAAATAAATGTGAGTTCTGTTTAATGCATCACCTCTTTTCATATTGCATTTGCCAAGAAAGTGCAATTTTATTGAACATTAGGATTGAATTCTTAACTGAGTAATCAATTTTAGTAGTAAGTTAAAATGCCTTCTATTAATGGACAACTGCAACCGTTAATCAGGGTTACAGTGGATTAACGGTTGTCAGCATTTATGCTAATGGCGCTGGGGCAGGGTGGGCCTGTGCAGTGCAGTGTATAACTCTGCATTCCTCACACAGTGGGCGATATTTTGTGCCGCGGTGTTGATTGTGCGGCGCCCTTGCTGGCTACTTGGAGACGTGGTGCCATTTTCACGGCGATGACACGTCACCTTCTGGGTCGGCACGCTGGCTTCTTGTCGGGAGAGATGGAAAGGTTCATTTGTTCTGCTGCTCCCCTGTTTAATGTGATCTGCGCTGTGACTAAAGCAAGACAAATAGTATTTTTAATGAAACCGTTTAATAACCTCTGGAAGCCGGAGTCGAAGGCACTGGGAAAACACAGTAAAAGGGTGGCTGGGTGTAAACAGCACAGACACCGCGGCTTCCGTTCCACTGACCCGGTCCTTCTGCTTTCAGGGTTTCATCACCGTAAATGGTTTTGAACCAATGAAGCTGGATTCCCTTAAAGAGACGGACAGCCCATCGTGTGGCCTGTAGAGCTCGTGGACAGATTTATTTGGGTGAGTTACTGTAAAGTGCCTGCAGGTAACAGTTCAGGCTTTCTAGAGCCCCTTCGGAATGTGTTTCAATTAGTGGGTGACTATGGATCGCCGCAGCCGCTGGGAGTTTCATCGGGATGTCTAAGAGCAGGGCCACATTGATTGCCGTTCAATTAATTGCATCTGGTATTTTCATTTATCAGAAGCAAAATACATGTAATTAACTCTGAAGCAATATAGTTCCGTGTGAAATGATTGCTGTTGCTGCTATAAAGATAAGTCAGCGGGAATGCTGCTGCTAGGAGCTCGGGTCAGAATGGGAGTCGAGTTCGGACTTCTCGACACATTAATTACAAAGAATAAAGATGAGCTAGGGAGACCACCTCGATCCCCTCGAGTCCTCTGCACAGTGGTAGGTGCGCTTCCTTAGGGCGCCCGCAGCCTGCTGGCCACATCTTCCTGAGCTTACACTCCCATGGCCAGCCCCTAGGCGGCTTGAGGACGGCTGGGTGAGTCCTGGCCGCTGGGAGTGTGAGTGAGCAGGGACGGGTCAGCTCTGGCTGCACTCACTGGGCTGTGGTTGAGAAAGCATCGATGATGGAGTTCCATCCTCCGCCCGGGGCCTGGCTTTAGTTTCAACACACCTTGAGCCATTTTTCACAAAACCTGGCTCGTACTGCAAGTGGCAGCTCTCGGAAGTGATTGAGTTTTACCCGCTTTAAAACATGTTTCTTCTTGAGCTGACATCATCTTAACGCAAGAAGAAAGAGCGGGTGAGCAAATTTCCTCAGTGTCTTTTTCGTCAAGCCCTTACACTTGTTCCCTAAAGTGTAAATAGGATGGAGTCTCCATTTTAAGGAAAGGTCAAGTTCACTGTTGTGGCCTCCGTGTTCCTCGGAGCTGGGAGCGCCAGGGGGCAGCCGAGCTGAACCTCAGGCTGAACCAACCAACAGTGACTCACGGTCCCCACATCTCCCTCCATTCCTCACTCCATGGAGGAGTGTCAGCTGGGGGTGCCGAGCCGCCTGCCTGGTCACCAGCAGTCGCCTCTTCGAGCCATCCAGAGCCGAGCTTGTGGATTGAGTAGTTGGACTGGGGCAGTCTCAGAGCTCCCCACCTGTTCAGGTTGAAGGTAGAAGCCAGGACACCTTTCCTAGGGGTGGCCTGAGCGGTCTTGCCCCACCAGAGGCCACAGCGGAGCATGACATCCCCTGAGGACCACTTATCAGAGCAGACTAACCTGAGCCCTCCAAGAACCTCAGCATTGGAGGAGACTAGAAATGCCAGGGCGCATTTTGGGGGAGGCATGGGAGTATTTACTAGTAAGTCATGATGGTCCCTCGCAACCAAAAAATCTCCCGCTGTGCCTTCCAAGGCCAACCTACCTTTCTTCCTGGCCCTCACCTGTGTTCCTTCAGTTAGACCCTGTGTGCATGCTGGGATTGGCCCAGGTCTCTCAGAGACATTGCGGTGCAAAGTCTTGGTGGGTCTGGCTTTGGTGGGTCTCCGTTCCAGTTTTGGGGTGCTGGGTTTGAAGGTGTTTTCAGGGGTGATGGAAATAAATCCATCGGACTCCTGTGGGCCCATGGAGTCCTCGCACTGGCTGTGCCCCGTGCCCGAGTTCTTCACAGAAAGGTGCCCGAGGCTCACCTGCTGCTGGGGGGGGGAGGGGGGAACCTCTTGTCTGGATAGCCCAACCTTGAGAGCAACGCTCAGTACATTTCACAGACACCGTGGGTTGGAAAACTACTTCCTCTCCAGATCCGAATGTGGAAATTGATAGTGCAGGGATGAATGGGCTTTTAAAACATCGACAGTGGTTGAGTAATAGCATCTTCATTTGACTCAGCCTGATACCTGAACCACTGTGGGATCTTGTGTAGCGGAGGTCCCCATCTCAGAACGCTGACCTTGCGTAAATGCGTCCGATAGCAGAATGAAAGCGCAACCCGCCTCCTGATCAGGTTCTTGAGCCCCGAGCGCCCTGCCAGTGGGCTAACCTGCACCCCTGACTACCCTGGCCTGTATTCACAGGGGGGCGTTCTCTCAGGTCCCCAGAAAGTACCTCTCTCTTCTCTATGACTCATCACTCTGGCCAGGAAGGTATACCCCACTTTTGGGACGGCCGCACACAAAGCCCTGCCTGTAGTCAATGCATAGCCACACCAGAGGGGCATCTGGGGTTGCCTCCGCCTGGGGGCTCACCTGCTGCGTCCTGGAATGGATGGGCCTTTTAAACTCGGGCGAGGAGAAGGACGGGTGACAACCACAGCGCCCTGAAAAGGCCGGCCGGGGTGCTGGAACCCTCTGCGTCATTGTTGTCATCTTAGTGATGTTGAGTGTGTCCTCATGTAATAGCTTTGTGTAAGCCTATTATTGTCGACGTGGTATTTTGGAATGTGGCTTTTTTTAATAACTCCAACTCAAACACTTCAGCTTTCTCCCCCAGAGGCTCGCTCTGCGCGCCATGAGCGGTGACAGACTGCTTTTAGCCCTGCTCTCCACTGGTTCCTTGTTACAATGCGCTCTGGTCTGCCCGCTTCTCCTGGAGCTGAGTTAGGTCTCCTTGGGGTCATGTGGGTCATTGTTTGTCTTGTGCTGTTTTGTTATTGAGCATTAATATTTATAGCGGCTCCCAGTTACCTTGTAATTTTAACAAAAGCGCCAGGGGAAAATCAGTGCTTTTTGTTGAATGTCTACGAACGAGTGGAAATGGAAATCAGAACCCTGGCTTTGTTCTGTGAGGTGATGGTGGGTAGTGGCGGCTGTGGTTTGGCAGAGACACCGCCGAGCATCCGGCTGCCTGCACCCAGCGAAGCTCACGCGCTGTTATTTTGACAGGTCGCCATCGCGCCCGCCTCCCAAGGCCCCAGGGAAAGGCCACCTGAAGGCACTTGGTGGGCACGAGGGCCTTGCCTCGGTCTGCCTCGGTCTGCCGTGGGGGCCATCGGAAACAGGCCTTACCCAGGCCAGCAGGCTGCGAAGCCTCCTCCCAGGCATTAGGGCAGTGATGGTGAACCTTTTGAGCTTGGCATGTCAGCATTTTGAAAAACCCTAACTTAACTCTGGTGCCATGTCACATATAGAAATATTTCGATATTTGCAACCTTAGTAAAACAAAGACTTATATTTTTGATATTTATTTTATATATTTAAATGCCATTTAACAAAGAAAAATCAACCCAAAAAATGAGTTCGCGTGTCACCTCTGACACGCGTGTCATAGGTTCGCCATCACTGGTTTAGGGCCTCAGCCCTGTTTCTGAAGGGAGAGCATTGCCTGACCTCAGAAACAACACCCACACCTGCTGGCTCTGGCTGTTGAGGTGCAGAGGCCATGCTGGTCCCACCTGTGGCCTCTCGGCCTGCACTGGGCCCTGCGGTCCTGCTCCGTTCTCAGCCACAGGCACCGATGCCCACATGAAAACCACAAGCCAGAGGCAGACACCAGGCCCCTTCATCTGCAGGGGCAGGTGCCGGGAGCTTCAGCCAGGCCCTCAACAATGTAGCTGCAACAATGCAGCACTCAGCTGGAGGGCCCCAGCTGGAGCAGGGTTCTTGGTTCTTGGGATTTTATTCCTGAGCTGCAGGTCCAAGTTCACGTGGGAGCCATTCCCTGGGAGGAGCTGACGCAGCCCTTCTTTCCTCCTGGCGAGGACCAGAGAGGTCACCCATCCTGTCCCCTCGTCCCGGCCACACAGGGCCGAGCCCCCAGCCCGAATCCTCCGGGTGGGCTGCTTTCTGCTCTGTTGGTTGTTCCCCTCCTCCGCTCCTCACAACTGCTGGTTCTAATCAGTTGATTTACCAGCCAGGGAGGCACAGAATCAAACAGAGGGTCTTAATTTTCACTGTCATCCCGGGGCCTGGAGTCAGCAAGCCTGCCTGGACGTCCCGGCTTCCTGGCCAGGGCGGGTGTCTGCTGAACCGCCCACTGGAGGGCCCTGCTTGGGAGGAACAGTGGTCTTCTCTCCCCTGGTGGGTGGCAGGGGGTCATTATTGAGCACCCCCTCCAGGTGTGATGCTGGGTAGGCGGGAGGTCCACCTCTTTTCCAAGATTTTTATGGTGCTGGCTGGGACCCCGTCTTATTCATGAACATGGGATGCTCAGATCACTGCTCCCAGGTTAGGGGACCACCAGAGGCGGGTGCCCGAGGACTGATGGTCATTGTTTCTGAGGCTTGGAGCATGCATGTGTTAAAGGGAAGGAGGGGGAGGGGGGGCCGCCAGGGTCAGGGCCGCCCTTGTTGCAGGAAATGATTATTTTCTGTTTACTGTAAGTTTCAGGTTGATGATGTGGATGTGTGAATGGGTAGGAAATTAGCTTTCTCATAAAAAAAATGTTGGGTCTCCAATCGGGTGTGATTAACGAGAGAGGAAAAGGTTGTGTGTGTGTGAAGCTTTTTGTTTAGTTTATCTTTGTTACCGCCACTGCAGTCTGCTCCTGGCATGCATTAGACCAGTGGCATTTTTGCTAACATGGTCTTCGTTTTAGGCGGTTTCAGTTTCTACTTCCATCTAGGTCAGCGGTTCTCAACCTGTGGGTCGCGACCCCTTTGGGGGTCGAACGACCCTTTCACAGGGGTCGCCTGAGACCATCGGAAAACACATCTATAATTACATATTGTTTTTGTGATTAATCACTATGCTTTAATTATGTTTAATTTGTAACAATGAAATTGGGGGTCACCACAACATGAGGAACTGTATGAAAGGGTGGCGGCATTAGGAAGGTTGAGAACCACTGATGTACACCACCTCCCAGGTTCGAGTAGCAGCTTCCTCAGCAACAGATGCTAAAGACCCACTTTACAGCCCAAGAAACCATCCATGTGGTCCTGATGGGATCGGGCTTCTTTGAGGTTTTTCATCTCTAATTTCTGGATCCCGATGGAGCGCCTTTTCTAAAGTAAGGCTGAGAATTCTGTCGTCCTGGTGGAAGTGTGTCCCCACACCTGTTGCCCATGGCTCCCTCCTTACCTGGCTTCTAACACCCACAGAACACATGTGCTTTATTTATTGAT